TTACAGAATAACAGAGATTATTGTGTATTCTAGATGTGAACATCAACTATTCAAGGTTACCTGTGATTGAAAAAAATAAATAAAAAAAAACCCACCAAAAAAACAGCAAAAAAAAAAAAAATAAATCCCAAAACCAAACCCCAAACTGGAAAAAAAATGACCTACCCTAATGGTAGGTATTATGTGCATTTCTCATGTTTTTAAATTGTCTATGCCAGCTATAAAAGAGGCAGTTCTTAATTAGGAGTTGTACTATGATAACATAACTAACTTTTTAGTACTTTGATAGCTTAAGTATCTTATTTTGCTTTTTTTGTGTGTGTGTGATTTTTTTTTTTTTGGTTGAGGTTTTTTCTTTGATTTTTTGGGTTTTGGGTTTTTTTTAGCTTGAAAATAGGTTTAATTGCCTTAATCTACTTGCATTCAGAGAGTATAGGTACATTTGCTGGCAATTATGTGTTATTCAGCACCTGTAATATCTGAATGTCATTATCTGTGTTGCAGAAGTTATACATTCAGGAAAACAAACATGAGGCAGAATTATTAATGCTGGAAAACTAGTTCTACAGTAATACCTATTCTCTGGAGGGCTAGACCAAACAAAATCTCTGTAATATTAGGATTACATTGCTTGTTCAGGCTGAAGTCTACACATACTTTAATTGCACAAAAAGGTTTTCTGGACAACATGAGAATCACCTGTGACAGGGCAAACTAATGTGGTGTGTTTTATCGCTGTTAACTGCCAATAAAGGTCTGCAATGCACTGCTATGCTAACCAAAATAAAAAATATCCCTAGCTAGTATGTAGATTGTTCCAAAGAAATACTAAGTAGTTTTGATCAAAAAATATATATCAGTGTGCATTAGCTGAGTACCAACCTTCAACCTTGAGTGTGGAAAGTGTACCGTGATTAGACTGACTAGTGTAATGCTTTAAAGTTCCTACAGTTTGCAATTCCTTTTAGGATACAGTAGAATATAATGGACCAATGTTAACAGTTCTTCTTGGCTTCTATGTTGGGGTAGTAGATTCATTTATTATGCTGGAACAGTACAGATTTACTCCAACGAAGTTACTCGTTCCACAAGACTAAAACATTATTACTTCTAGATGTAGTTAACAGAAGCCAATTATGAATATTTAAATAATTTCAAAACCAGCTGTAATAATTATGATCTCAGATGATTGAAGGCATCTCAACAACAGCAAAATAACTTAATTTGTTATAAACAAAAATAATTTTTGATGAAAGCCTGCTACATATAGACCTGATCATTCCACAATTAGTATTATTGCTTGCTGATTTATTTTACTTTTTAATCCTTGAATTTGCCAAAGCACCATGAAAATACACAGTAGGAAATCTGCAACATTGATCCGACTCATTAATAATGTTTTCACTCACCTCTGACTTGTCTCTGCTGGGATAGTCTACTCAGTACTCAGCTACAACCTGTTCATTGAGATGCTAGTGTTGGTGGTTTCCATCAATAAGTTCTGCCAGTAGAAGAAAGTGTTTTCTCTAGGGCTGTTTTAATGTTCGTCTTGTTGGATAGAGTCCAGGTTCTGATTAATAAATTAGGAAGTCTACTTAATATGGAATAATTAATGATGCAACAGCAGAAAAGACTAAAAATTGAAAGATCAGCTTGATTTAAATCACAAATTGAAAACAGTGATGTTCATTTTTCTAAGCTTTCTGAACACAGTGTGGTGAGAAAAAGTAAATCTGGAACCCAGGAAGCATCTACAAGATTAAGACAGTATGCAAATTATGTTTGAGATTATTCTGAAAAAAAAAGGCTTGTGCTAATTTCAAGATGTTTTTCACAATTAATTTCTGAATTAGATAATCATTCAGCTTATTCTACCCAGCAGCTTAGATCATGTAATATTAATAAGACTCCTACGTTTACTGAATAGGTATTCAAGATTTCTTTTTGTTCTTCTGATTTAGTGTAACTTTAATCTTCGTCTACTAGATCTTTTTACAATCCTGTCAAGAGTACAAAATTTATCTTATAATTTTGTCTCTTCTTCCTTTGCTTCGTACCCACCTTTTTCCTTCCATTCCAGCCTACAAATGTGTAAGCCCTGCTCGTCCTTTCTCTTTGCCCTTACCCATCTCATTCATTGGCTCATGTTCACCATCCCTTTTATCTTTTCCTTCAACCTCATGCTCTCATGCACTGTCTGCAGCATTTGAAAATTTGCTGAAACACAGATGGCAATTAATCGCTCTGAGTTCACCCAGAAAGAATCAGATTTTATTTTAAAGAAAGGTAATTTCCAATTTACAAGACCAATATTTTATTACTTATTATAATTTTATTGGAAAATCAAAGTTTATGTGAAATTTATTAAATGCTGCAGAATAATTTAATACCACCACTATCTTTGAAACTATATACGTATATTAAAAATATTACTGTTGTAGTATGTTTTCTTTAAATACAGCACACACTAAAAGTAGTTATATTTCAATACAATTCTATCTGACTTCTAAAGAGGCAGTTGAATGATTGTTTCACAATTTTTATTTTTACTCTTTGCATTATACAAGATCGTTTCTCCTTGGAGTAAGTCTGGCTAATTCATCTCATGTAGTCTGATCAGTAGAGATTTCACCACTTCTCTCTGTAGACTGTGTATGAGGAAGAAAATTATTTCTATATTTGACTAGTTTATAGTTATATATATTTTTCCTTTTGAAAGGAAGGTTTAAGGAAAAGGTATGCCTTTGGTTACACATAAGGCAGTGGAAAAAGCAGAGATCGTTTAGTACACTTTTTGATACAAGCAGCTCAGTGGGAGGCTCAGGACAGATGGTTTAAAGGGCTGTTGCAAGGGCTGAAATAGTCTCTGGATTTTCCCAAAGTCTTAATCTCTTTAGGGCAAAGATACTTTCTAATTTCTACAGCACTGTGCACATAGAGGTCTGTGAGGAGCTGCAGCTGGCAGAACTCCCACCCTTCAGCCACTGGTGAGGATTACAATTTTATAAGGTATATAATGGAGGAACTGGAAGAGATCTTACGGAATAGTCACAAAGTTGCTGCCTGTTTATCATAAATTTATTTTCATCAGTCACTACAAGATAGGCTCAGACCATCATTTTCCTGTTAAAATAGTATTACATTGGCTGAATTACTATCAAGTTGGAGAAATAGGATTTTTACAATGTAATCAGTGGTTTTAGGTATTAAAATAAATTTCATCTTTGCATCATCTAGTACTGCTACAGTGTTATTTTTTTTCACCGTTTTAAATATTTACGTGTCTATTCTACACAGATGCCAACTTACCGTCATTTTCACTTGAACATGAAATAAAAAGTGATGTAGAGAAAAGCTGAGAGGACTTTGTCAGGGGGATGCTGGGAAAAAGCATATCCTGTCTCATTCCCAGAACCCTTCAGTTACACCCTTATGAAAAAGGTGCTACAATAGGTGCACAAAACATTCATTTATACTAATTATTCCACTCCCAATCAGGTCATAAGTTTAACTGTGGTTTTAAGAGACTAATGCAAACTGAAGATACATTCAGTTAACTTGTAGACACAGTCATACTTCTGAAATATCAACTGTAAACTTGAATCTGAATTACTTGAAAACTGTCCAAACTCAAAGATATTTTAATGGGGTTTTGAGCTTCGTTACTGGATTGTATATGTAAAACATGTATCGAGAGTTGTCTTTTGGGTGGTGATGAAAAAAGTAATCCTAAATAAATATTATAATTAAACACTTCTTTTCATAACAATAAAATTATTTTTTTTTTTTCCTTGGGAAATATCCACTTTGGGAAGTTGTTTGGTGCATGTCAAAATTCTTCTTTCAGATTTTAATGGGTCTCTGGCTTATTTTTTTGTCTTACTTTGTTATGAGCTGTTGCTATCTAGACCTAGACAATATGACTGGAATTTGCTAATATCTTAAGCCTGCACATTAGTTACCATTTTCTAAGTTGCGTGACTTCTGCAGTGTCATATGGATAAACTGGAAGTTTACTGTAGCTAGTTTTTAAGGGAAATCCAAGAAAAAAACATTGAAACCTACTGACTCCAGGCAATGTTCACTAGGAATGTTTCTGTTTAGACAAAACACCTAAAGCAGAGAAGTTCCTTCAAACATCTTTTCATAAACCCTGGTCATGAGATAACATTTGGGAGGTAGAGTCTCCTTAAGCAACTGTTGGGCTTCTAGACAGTGGACATAGCCCACATAGCCACATAGGACAGCCACATAGCCCAGGTAATCTTCTGTGTAATAAGTTGAGCCTTGTAGGGCTCTTCATGTTATGCTATAAGTCATACTTCTATTTCTTGAGCTTTGGGTCTGTGAAATGATGCTTTTAAAGTTCGATTATAGAAGAATAACATATGATCTGACCTTATTACTTTTGTAATAATATGTTTCTGGTTTAAAGTTAAGGATCTCTCTTGATGACTGTTATGCTGTGTCAGACACTTTTTCCATTAGAGTATAAGTGGAAAAATAACAATGAGGAGAAGACTGGCATTACAGCTTGAGAACCACTTCTGTATGTAAAAAGGTTTATTGAAGATTATGACAAAATATCTTTTCTATAACAGGATACAATGTGGTGGATGCAGTGCTGGATACAATGTGTTACTCAGGAGATGTGTCAGATGCTTGTTTCCCTTATTTTTTTCCTTTGCCACTTTGAGGGAAAATAAAATGAAAATTGACTGACTTTTAAATTATTCTGACAATTATGCTGTTTTACCTACACAGAACCATTTTTACATATTATTTTACATTACATAATATTTTACATATTAAATGGCCCATTGTTTCCTCTATCAATGCTATTTTATTCCAAAGTTCAGCTTCAGCTGTCATTATAGCACATCAGCTCTTAAGATGACTCCAGCATAGAAACTTTAAGGCTTGGTTGGTCCTATTATCTCACCCTGAAATTTCAGTCATCTTTAAATATTTATGCAGCTAAATAATTTTTACTGTTTCTGTACAGGATTGACATCTTCAAGTATGTGATATACGGTGTAGCAGCTGCATTCTTTGTATATGGCATTTTGCTGATGGTGGAGGGATTCTTTACAACTGGTGCCATCAAGGATCTCTATGGGGATTTCAAAATCACCACTTGCGGCAGATGTGTCAGTGCCTGGGTAAGTGGCTATAAAACCTTTTGTACTTATGATAATTTCAACATGTTTTGCATGCCATGTGATGTTTATTTTTTGGTTGTTTATTTTTTCTTTTTTTTAATCTTTTCCTGTTTAGTGGTTAAAAATCATAGCGAAGGAGAATAGAGTGTTAGAAATGTTCTCTATATTGGTTTGTCACTAAGTAACCCTTGCTACTTAGGAACAATTAATTTCACTAGTTAACAGGAAACCTTGTTCTCTCGGCAGCATAAGCTGTTTGGGACAGGACTAAAAGCATGTAATGCCTTCAGGTCTACTAGCGAAGAAATACTTCTCTTAGAAATATTTTCACTGTTGTTTAAGAAATCTTGCCTGTTCTGATTTGAGACAAGTTGAGACCTGTCATCAGGTTTTGTTCATAAATAGCAAACAGACCCTTATTTGCTCCTATTTTATCACTGGTTTGGAGAGACCATTCACTTATGACCCTGAAAACCTAGATTCAAAAAATTCTGGTTTGTACTGGGACTTCAATGGAGGTTTGTCATACTGAATTGCTGTTTGGACTGGGATTATTTTAAGATCTCTCTTTGATATCAGGTAACCAACCAACGTTGTTGGTATTTGACTCTTCTGCATCTAAGGTAAGAGGCCTGGACACTTGGTAACTGTTGGAGTTGGATATGTCTATGTCAATAAATCATATTAAAATCACATTTTCTGATGAAAAATAAATTATTAAATATAGACAAGTATATCTGGGTGTTAAGGTACACTTAACGTTGTACTATATTTACAACTGATATATAAAATAATAGCCAGAGGAGGGTTTCCTATTGTATTCTACTACAAATCTCAAAACTTACTGAACTGGAATACACACTAAGAACAAATATAGGCAATAGAGAATATCTTCCAGTCATACTAAAGTCTATCAGAATTAGTATTTTGGATATCTTGACTATAAAGTTAAACTGAACACAGATAATCTACACATTGGAAATTGGAGAATAGAGCATGTATGCCATCCCTACATAGATGTAACATGATCCCCAGTAAAGCTGCTGTTTCATCTTTTATTTCTTTTGCACCTGTCAAACGTTACTGTATGATTTTAACACCTTGAATAAGAATTGTTGTAAAACCTTTAAATAAATATAAAAAGACTGGGACCATTTTAAATAAAGAGCAATCATTGCTTATGTCAACACTGCTTTTATCTCCTGGAAAGAAGTCTCTAATTTATATTCACTGAGAACCTACTAAGCTAGTTCAAATTCTGTGCAGAGTAGCAAATTTTTCAGAACATTATTTTTATTTCACAGCTCCCAAAATGCCTGTCCTCGGTACTACAGCAGAACAACGATGCATCCTCTAGCAGTTTTTTGCCCTCGCAGTATAAGCTGTAATTCTGCAGTACATGTCTAGAAGAAATTAACAGTTAATCATCTATTCTATGGTTAATAATACTATTATTGTTAATGATTCATTAAATTAGTTCCTCTAGCATTTTACTTTCCTCATCAGTAATTTGTAATGTTTTTGTTTTATTTTCAGAAACCTTGGGTTGATATATATTGTGTAGCTAAGGTTAAAGCTGTATACTATTAATGAATGCAATTAAAATAAGCTATCGATTATTTTGAGTTAAATACATTGTTGTTATTATTCTTACACTTATTGGAAGTTCTTTCTTTTCCCTGGAAAAGAAAAAAAAATCTGCAGTTTGATTGCTTCCCTTATTCTGATGATGCTATCAGTAAGATTGCTATGCAAATGTCCAGAGCTATTTTGGGTTATTATTCTGGCTTTTGCTTCTGTGTTCTAAAAGTTAGAGAGTAAGATAGTATATACAGCATTTTTGTCAATTGAAACTTGATACTCTTTTTGACTAGGTTTATTTTGATTATTTCATACTTAAAATTCTTAAGGGGCAAATAGTAGATTACATTTTAAAAAACATTTGGAATTAGAAAATATTTCAGTCTGGCAGTGATATGCTTATAACTTATTCAGTTCCTTAAATCATGCAATGATATAAAGAAACAAGTTCTAAGAACAACAAAAAGATGACTGGAGACATAAATTGAACCTAATCAGTACCCTTGTGTGTCAAGCCCAGATTGTTGTATTGCTATGCAAATTTGCTGTAACAAATTTTGTTATGTACAGTTGCCAAAATGAGATAATGTTATTGAAGAGGATTGGCAGATATTACATGTTGCAAGAAAGCTTCCTTGTATAAAATTTTGAGATAGTAATTTTGTAAATATTAAAATATAAGCTGCCAAAGACTAAACAATTTGTCAATACCCTGATACTAATAGGAATGTGCACACCGAGTATTGTTTGTTTTGAAGAGTTAAAATGGTAAAATGGCTCCACATTGAAAACACCTTTGTAAGAATCCAGTTGTGACTATGATTCTATGATTTCCCGTCAAATATGCTGATAGATTTCTAAATAGCAGGTTAGCATTTTAAAGTCTGAAAATTAAGTCCTTCTGCTTTACCATTGTCACCAATCACTTCTCATTAATATTTTGCAATCTATTATGCAATATATTAATGAGCATATTTCTTATGCCTGTGACCAAATCTATTAGGAAAAGCGAGGACAAAAATCAAGAAATTCCAAGGAGGAAAAGCTTGTTTTAACTTTGTATGGAAAAGCTATATTTCTCACAGGAAATCTGAAAAGTACCATCTTTTTTCTTCTTTATCAAAATAGTCTTTGAAAAGCAGGCTTTTAAGAAAACTGAAAGCCAACATCTACAAAGCTTTTCATGTGTTCTTTCTGACTCTCCTTCACTGTGAATAGCTCACTTTCAAGTTCTGCATAGGCAAAAGGAAGTTTTTTGCCTGAAGTAATGGGAAAAGAAGTAGCTCAATCTAACTTTTTCAGGGATTGTATAGTTGATTGATCAGCCTATAAGAGTATTCAGAGGCTTAGCATTCAAGTCATGCCAGCATTGCTGTGGAGTGTAGCATCTCAGATCTGAGAGAGGGCCTGTGAAAGTGACAGTGAAGAATCTCATTGGCAGCGTTTTCAGAATTCATTTACTGTGACAAGTAAAACAAAAGTAGTGTAACAATGCCCAGTCACATTCGAGGAGGGAAGGCTGTGGTTTAGTCTTCATTTTTCTATGCCTGAACATGCTTTTAGAGAATTAAATAAACAGCTATATATAATTGTGCTGCAGCATGATTAGTGAAGAATGGAAGACAGGCCTGAGGCCAACTGTGTCACTGTATATTTGTGATTTAATACCCTTCCTATTCATATTAAGCTAGGTTGATCATGGAAAGCCTCATTTACACCTTGTTTTAGAATGTCTGTTTACAGAGTCAATTAAAAACTGAAGAAAGCAACACAGATTAGGCTTTTTTCATCATTCTGTGCCAGGAAATGGGGAAGCAGGTCTTTTTATTTCATTAGAAAACAGTGGATGAAGATCTCACCCTGGCAATCATATTTCTATTTCCTTGTATCTCACCTTCTAAAAGAAACATGTTAAGGCTCTAGAGAAGGATGTTTCATATTTGAAGTTGCACTGACTGATATATCTTCATTATCTTTAATATCTAGGAACCCTTTATTTAAATGAGTGAAAGGGATTTTTCTGCCTTCGAAAATTATTTTGGTTACCTGAATACTATGTACTATATGCCCCATGCTTTTTGAGTGCTTAAAAAAACCTTGAACTTTCCAAAATATTTCCAGAATTTATCTTGCAAGAAAAATTATAGAAGCTTCACAAATGTTTTGAAAAAAACTTGTGTAAGTGATGTGAAATTGTCCATCTTGCTTTTACCAGACCAGTTATTCTAGAGGCAGTGAAACTGCATCATGTTGACATTTGATTCTTTGTGTAACAGAAGGAACAGAGTTCAGTGCAGGCTCAGCTGTCTTTCCCACCCAGAACAGATGCATCAGTTCTGAATGCTAGAAATGAAGCTCTCATTTCTGAAAATCAGATACTGTATCTGCATATCCTGGTGGCAAAATGCTGAGCTGACAGAGAGGCCTTCCTTCTGATTGAATACTGCTTTATCTGAAGAATGCAGAATGCTTCATTCCACTGCTTCTTCATTTATGAGAAGTACCTTCTCTCTGAGACAACAGATGTACTTATGAGTCTAGAATCCTTTAATACAATCTGAAATAAGGAAAAAGTCTAACAAAACTTTTGTCCCCATACATGTTAAGAAGCAAATGCCATAACTAGTCTCAGGCACTGACATGGGAAATGGGGAAGGTGAGATTCATATGGTGGTCTGACCTTTCACACTGCACACTTAAAAAACAGAATCATGAATTATTGCCACAATAACCCAGAAGCTCATGGAGAAGTTAGTTTCAGAGGGAATGTGTTGTGGCACAGATGTATCCCACTTAACTAGTAATGTTGCTAAGGTTGCCAAAGGAAGTGCCTATGCTTCTTCAGTAGTTAAAGAAGAGAAAAGAGCGTTAGAGAGACTTTCTCAGATGAGCTGAATTTTTCTAAGACTGTCTTATTTTCTGCAGAGACAATAACCTTCAAGTCTTTTAAGTAAGCTCTTTTATATTAAGCATTTCAGTCAGCTATCTAAATTTGCTAGGATGTATCCTGCTTGGACCCTTTAATTGGAGTTTAGGTGAATAACATTTCCTATTTAAACACTGCTGGAGTTAGTAAATAAAATAAAACATATTAACAATTTTATAGTTTTCTGAAATTTATCTTATCTCTGGATACTAGACCAGTGTTGGAATTTCTTTAGAGGACTAAGTTCTTTGTGATCTTCTGTCCTTGTTCTTTAAATAGGAAGGATAAGCCCCAGAAATACTTCAGAACTGAGATGAGTGGTTAAAAGAATCTCTCATTTTTATGCCAATACTCCCAACTACATTGTTAATATACATATAGTTTTTTAAAAAGAAAGAATAATGCAAGTTATTACTCTCTTTTTTTTTTTTAATTTCTCTATTCGTTATACTTTAAGAAGTCTTCTGTGGTGATCTCAGAGGGGGTTTTTATA